AGCGATCGATCTGAAGCCATTCAACTGTTAAATAGTAGGGGGGGGGGGTGTAGGTCCACTTTAATTTATGTTCTTTCTCACAACGTCATGAATAGCTGTTAAGAGAAAGTGATTGGTGTGGGGAGAGATAGAGTAGACAGCGAAACAGGACTTACTTTGCAAAGTGGAATTACCTCAAGTGTGGGATCCCGGAAAAGCATGGTTTGAAGGAGAGAGAGATTGGACACACATACACACACACACAGACGCACACACATACACACATATGTATATAGTGGCGTCCAAAAGAAACTGGAAAATGTAATCACCCAATTATCATGTTACGCATCCTTGCAGTAACCACTCATGCAGCATACCCCTTTAAAGCTAAATAAATTCTACATCATCAGACAAATTAATCTGTCATCTATATTTACAGATACCCGATAAAAACTCTGGTTTGGCAAATTGTGCAAAATCAAAGGAACGTAACAATGTTTTCGCGCGTCTAGAGGCGCGTCAAATATTGATAGAACGGGCATACATTGCATATCCAGGGAATGGAGAATTTTGTCTCTGCAATAAACAATATTTTATAACGATATTTTGTTACGATAATGAGAGGCAAAACGGAAAACAGAGCAATAACAAATACCACGCAAACCTTGGACTTAAAATTAAATGTGCTCATTGCTATTTTGCTTAAAAGAGCCATTTGTTTTGTGTAAAGCACGAACCCATTGGGCATCGACTCTATTAAATGTTGGACATAATTACACGTCTTTTCATCCAAAATATCTCAGAGGATTGCAAAGAAAGGGTCTGAATTGGTAGCAAAAGTCGCATTTCTTCAGCTGCTGTTTCATCGGACTTCACGCACCTGAAGGATTCATATCGGACTATATACAGGTGACCACTCCAATCGTGATTTGTTCTGGTTTTCCAAGAATTGTCTTGTGGCATTGGCCCTGTGAGAAAGTGCTTAGCTATACTTCGAGATGTCTGCTTCAATGACATCATGAGGAAAATAAGGGTAAGATAAGACGTTCTATCGCACTTGCGCGATGTAATCCACTAAACCAAGCTATTCGGTGATTCTCATGAGGACGGTATTGTTCATTCCACCCCAGACCACCCAAAACAATTGCAGTTTCGTGGGATCTGTGCCTCACTGACAGATGATTATAATATTCTCTTTTATTTTGATATTCAATATATTGCCCATTCCACCAATTACATGTATACGTGCGAACACACTTTTACGTTTATTTGATTTTACACAATTTTGCCAAGCCTGATTTATTTAGGTCAATTTTGAGTGACCATATCTCGGGCGTCTCTTAACATAATCTAGATGAAATATTAATGAGCCAAGAGATGCAGAATTAGTTTAGCTTTAAATTGGTATGCTGCATGAGTGAGTAGTGCAAGGCTTTAACACGATGATTGGGTGTCTGCATTTTGAAGTTTCTTTTGGACGACACTGTGTATACACACAAAGAGTCACAGACTTAGAGCGATAGAGACAGTAAGATAGATAGATAGATAGTTAGATAGATATATAGATAGATAGATAGATAGATAGATAGATAGATAGATAGATAGATAGATAAATAGATAGATAGATAGATAGAGAGAGAGAGTGTGTGTGTGTGTGTGTGTGTGTGTGTGTGTGTGTATGTGTGTGTGCGGCAACACACTGCGTAGAATCTAACCGTTGGATCTAAGCTGCGAATAACACACTCTAGAACACTAATAATTTGACAAGATCTTTCGCTGTCTAAATCCGTGTTCCCATCCCAACATCGGTGAAGCGAGGGTGTAAAATGCCTTTCCCACGGACACAGGTTCGGGCACGACAAGATTCGAACCCATGACCTTTTGTTTGCGAGTCCGAGAGCCAAACAACAAACATACACCGCTATCCATTTTAAAGGCCCCCTCACCACACTCCATATTTCTCCGAAACTTCCCGTTATAATCAGCTCTCTCTGATTGCCATGACCTTTGTTCGGAAAATGATTATATCAACAGTGCAAACGCCCAACACTGCATGTTACTGTTGTCAGATTCTGCTTAACTTCTTGACGTCTCCCACTTATTCTATCAATATCATGTCGTCCGTATCATGAACATGCAAGGTTTTGATTAATACCAGTATTAATAGACCTCTGGTCAAGATGGAGCAAGTAGTTGAAGAGTATGATAAAAATAATATGTTGGCTGAAACACCGGATAAGACCAGATAACAGCTGAATCAATCATTACAATATTTCACAGTAACGAATAGCCTGTTGATTATTATCCAAGGACATTATCGGCTTAATGTGGAAACTCTGAGTGCTTAGTTTTGACATTTCCAATCCGTACAGCCATTAACGATCTTTGTTTAATGCATGTTTCTAAACGCGCACGTCCTTCAAAATGAGGATTTATTTTCAGTCAAGTTAAAATCATTAAATCTAATTTTCACCCCACTCACACGCTTTCCATTTAATTTGTTGCGTCGGTGGCCGAGTGGTTCGGCTCTCTGACTCGCAACTGTAAGGTCGTGGGTTCCAATCCCATCAGAAGCCCGACGTTATGTCCTTGGTAAATATATTTTAAACGAATTTGCTTCACTCCATCCAGATGGGAATGAGTGCCCAGCAATAGACAGTGAAAGTTCTTGTCTGTTAGTATTTGAGCGTTTCATCAGCTGCTTGCACTGTCTGCTTCTCGGGAAGCTGAGAATGTATCTGGATGTTCTATGGTCTGCTGGGGTAATGCTATAGTGTAAAGTGCTTAGAACTTGCTGTCCAGTGGGGATATGCGCTATACAAATAATGCTATCTATCTATCTATCTATCTATCTATCTATCTATCTATCTATCTATCTATCTATCTATCTATCTATCTATCTATCTATCTATCTATCTATCTATCTATTATTATTATTATTATTATTATTATTATTATTATTATTATTATTATTATTATTATTATTATTATCATCATTATTATTATCATTATTATTATTATTATTATTATTATTAAAAGTATTATTATTATTAAAAGTATTATTATTACTATTATTAATTGTCCAGGGCTCAAGATAAAAATGCATTTCTTACTGGCCAGTTTCGTGATCAGTATGTAGTTGATCGGGAATCCCTTGCATAGACGAACTGGCCCAAAATAACAGAAAAAATTTAAAAATCCTAACTTACACAATAAAAGGAATCACGGCGAAGCAATAGACCACCGCTGTCTACGTTTTTTGGTGCGTTTTGTTTCCCCGTAGACTTCCATCTTCCATCGGCTATAACTTTCTATTGACTCCTCCCAAATTTTTCCATTGCCAGCAGAGGCTCGTTTGAAAGTCATCATCATCACCATTGCCTTTCTCAGCCTGGTTCAAGGTATAGGTCACGGACAAACACCTTCCAGCTTTCCTTATCCTTGGTTAACCCCTTGACGTTATTCCATGTCTTTCCACTTTTCTGTACATCGATTTCTGTGACTTTTCTTCTGGTTCCACGTGTTCTCTGTGGGTTCCAATCCAAAACTTTCCGCGTTATGCAGCTACTTGACTTCCTGAGAGCATGTTCAATCCACCGCCTCCGTCCCACCTCATCTCTCACTGGGCCCTGCTCGTTGGTGACCCTGTCTGTCCATCTGATCCTCAGTAACTTGCTCAGACACTTGTTCAAGAAAACCTGGATCCTCTTTAATGCAAATTTGAGATGCATCGTTTGAAAGTACTGTAAATTTTTAGACCTCCTTCGATACGATGTGGGTCATTTAGAATTGAGCCAAGGCTAAGCTACTTTGAGTGGGACATAATATCCCAGCAGACAGACGGAGATGGTAGATATAATCAACTTCCCCATACGGGAACCGAACTCATTTCTCCTGCATGTACTGGAGAAGAGCCTGTCCACTACACCAGAGGCTTCAAAGTTCGCTTGCAGACGACCGTTGTTAACATTGTACATATTATTTATCATGCATTATCTCATATCTTCTCACGAGGACAGTCATATCAAGATACCTCGCCTGGTTCGCTGACACGGGTTTTATCTGTTACCTAATAAAAGTTATGATAATAGTAGACCTAGTAGCGATGATGACCATAATACTATCATCATCATTATCATCATCAACAACAACAACAACAATCATAATAATAATAGTAATAATAATAATAATAATAATAATAATAATAATAATAA